AAACATGTAATGAAAACAATATAAGCACCTTGATCCTCTAAAGCTCTCTTTCAGCAGCAGGTAGACAGAGCATACAGGGATAACCACCAAAGTTGGCAGGTTCTTAAGCCACATATTTTTCCAAGACAATTCAAAGCCTGTGTAAGAGCCACACTTGGTTCATGCAAGGAGATAATGCTGAAATCAACAAAAAGTATAGGCATATTGGAACTAGACAACATGGATAAAGATAGGCATTAGAGGGATTCCCCATAATTTTTTCAAAAGGATTAAGAGTAGGTTAAATTAACAAGTGAGCTAAACCGTACTACTACATCTAATCATCAGGAACGGGCCAGCTAATACCAGAAAAGCAAACACTTAGCATTTTACAAGCAAGAAAAAGGCCACTGCTAACACATTCGCACTTCATGAGGCAAGCCTTGGTGAGCAGAGGGAGACAGAATTTAAGTCTTCACTCACTCCCTTGACCAGATGCCATTCTAGGTGGTACAACTGCACAACCTATACCAAAACCCTACCTTCAGGAGAGTGTCAGAGAAATGCATAGAATGGAAAAAACAATACATATTTAAACCACATATCTAACTCCAAGAGAACCTTAAAGCAATCAATCTTTTTTAAATAAGAAAGAAACTAAGTCAATAGCATCTGAGCAACAGATGAGAATTAAAGCAAAATCTGTTGGCTAATGGTAACAGCTTTGTGTTCTTTGTTGTTGAAAATGTGCATGTCGCAGCGACTACAATATGCTCACAAACTCAGATGCAAAAGGCTATGGAAAACAGTTGCTATTTTTACACTGAAGATAAAATCAAGCACCCCTTTCAGATCTTAATTTTGCTAAAATAGTGGAAGGAAACAAAACTCAAGGTGTTAGGTGTCTAAACGATCCAGATCCTGTGATTTCTACTATAGGAAAATAAAGAGTATATTGGACAATAAAGGCAAAAGCTGGCACTGTATTACGAGCAATGAAGTATGAACCTGCCAAATCAAATCATCTGAAATAAAATATAAAGTTAAGGTTTAATTTAGTAAGATTCTAGAGAATAGGATATGTGAAGCTTTAACAGTTTTTATATTTATAGACTATTTTAGTTAAATCTTTTTTATAGTGTTTTTCTTTAACACCTTAGAGGAAAGAGGAAACTCTTCCTTATAAATTACTATAATGTAAAAGTAGTAATAATAGTTATGATAATAACTATATTAGTTTTCTATTGATGCTGTAAAAAATATCACAAATGTAGTAGCTTAAACAACACAACTAAGCTAAAATGAAGAGGTTGGCAGGCTGCACTGCTCTCTGGATAACACGGAAAATGTCGGGCGCCCCAACGTGGCTGCTTGCCGCCTCCCCCTCGCTCCACATCTCTGCGGGCCAGAGCTGCGCGTGGCCAGTTGGAGGGCATGGTGCTGGGGACAGGCCCTGCGGCAGGGAGCCGCCTGGGGCCCCATGTGTCCTCTCGCCCCGCATGCTGGAATTGCCCCCAGGCCGCGTGCTGCCGCCTGTTTCCGGCTGTGTTGCTTCCATGATCCTGATTGGGTAATTTTTGAATCCCACTGTTGCTGATTGGATGTTAAAGCTTGTTGCTGATTGGATGTTAAAGCTTGTAAAGTTGATTGGATGCTTTTTGAGCCCTACCAAGGGCATAAAAGCAGGAGGAGAACAAAGAAGGGGTCAGAAGATCAGAAGACGGGAAGAGAGCTATGACACTTGCTGGGTTGAGCCAGCTGGCTGAATAAAGACTGTTCTCTGATTCTTTGTGAGCCGCTCTGTTCTTTCCCTGGTCAAGAACTGTAGCACTACCTGTACACTGGCCGCAACATGGATGGTCTCCTATGAGAATCCAATCCCTTGCCCTCGGGCCCACTGAGGAAAATCTGGGATAATCACCTTATCTTAAGGTCAGCTGATCAGCAGCTTTCATCTGCAACCTTAATTCTCCTTTGCCATGTAATATAACATCTATACAGCTACTGGGGATTGAGACATGGACATATTCAAGGGGTCATGATTATGTTTACTATAATAATTAACATGCATTAAATGTTTTATTACTTGCCAGGTACAGTTCTAAGCATATTATATAAAATAAAATATAATTCTCAGAAGAGTGGTAGAATCTATTGTTATATCATGGTTCGGATAATGAGACCGAGGCAAAAAAGGTTAAATAATTTTCTTAGTGTTACTTAAGTAGAAATTAGAGGAGCCAGGATTGAGCTCAGAAGTCCACATGCAGAACCTATGCTTTTAATCTCTCAACTCCATCACTTCAAAGACAAAATTATCATCTAAATATATAGCAACTGTATGTTGTCATTATTATCAAGATGCCTACCTAACTCATAGCCCATAAATGCTGGCCATCATTATTATTACCTAGAAGAAGAGCAAGTTTAAAACTCAATATGGCAGATACAAAGACAGAGTCAATAGAGACCATCAGGAACAATAAACAAATGGCTACTGAGAGGTTTGTTCCCATCTAGCATTTACTAGGCTATAAGTCACATTAAATAAAATGGACGGGAAGCCATTATTTTGGATTGAGCTCCTGCTCTAGGGCACAGAAGTCAAGACCAAACTAAAAAGAAGTCACTCTTGTTAGGTGCCATATAATCAAACTGAACTTAGAAATGGGCCAGTTTTCCATAAAACCAGAGATTCACAGCAACCAATCCAGAGAGGCCCAGTCAATCTGAGTTGGCATGGTAATCTCCCTTACTGTAGCCCTATAAGGAAAGTGATTTTGAAATGACCATTTTACTTTCTGCTTCTTGTTTCTGCTTTCTTCAGCCTATAAAGCTCATATCCTCTGCTTAGCCTACTGAAGTGCCTTTCTATTCCGTACATGGGATGCTGACCTATTTATGAATCACTAATAAAAGCCAATTAGATCTTTAAAACTCCATTTGTTGAAAATTTTGTTACTTAATAGTCAGATGACTACTATGACATCAGGCCTACTGGGGTAACCTCAGCCCAGGTGACAGAAGGACCACAGCCAGTCTTGCTACAACCTATCCAGGGGCATAATTACTCCTGAGGTTTTGAGCATGTGGACACTGGGCTGGCACTCTACGAGCAGTGGGAATGTAGCGGGAAGGCTCCCCGTGTCAGTGATGTTTGTATTCCCCAAATGTCAGTTGGCCGTTTCCAAGACATTTCCTTGTAAACTTATGGAATGGAACTTTCCTTTCTGTCTGGAAATTTGAGCTGAAGGCTCCAAACTGAGAATCACTGGTAACAAATACCACCTAGCATTCTTAAGAGATATTACCTCCTGAGGGTTTCATAAGAGTGGCCAAACTGGCCCCTCACCTCTCATCTCCCATCATTCACCTTCAGCCCATGGAATAGAACTGTGGAGATTAATGGATTTGATGGGAAATTATAAGAGTAAGGAAAGTAATGGAAAGGCATGCTTCTGCCTCCCACCCTCAACAAAATAAGAAAACCCCTCAGAGAATTTGGAGATGGTTCTATAAAAGGAGACTGTCACCCCATTTCCTACCTGTTTGCTTTGTGACTTACAAAAATGTACTGACCCTCCCTTCTCCGTGCATGAGTGCATTTTTGGGAAAGTTTGACACGTGCCCCTAGAATGGAGGGACCCAAAGCCACTGCTTGACTCACCCTGGAGAGGTCTGAAGATGCAAGGCTGGGTGGAGAGTCTCTAGAGCAGGGGGAGGAGGAAGAGGGACAGCAGGAACAAGCTGTACTTGCATCACTGGAGGGGCATTTGGACGGGCGAGACAGCAGTATTTCCAGTGAGCCAAGCACATGCTACAGCAGTAGGTTAGGCTAGAGCCATCTCCAACTGCCACCATCCAAGAAGTCTACTAGCTGGGGTGAGGAGACTCCAGAGGTGTGTTGTCTGAGGTCAGAAGCTAAGGGTCAGAAGTTGTTGAGAAAATGAATCTCTTACATTTGTGACTGGCACCATAAGAGGCCCCCTGAAAAACCCACAAAGGTTCACCGATGGCCAGATTATCGCAGATATACCAGTTAAATAAAACTCTATCCCATTTAATATTGCCTTTCCTCACCCCTGGTTCCAAGACCAAAAGGTAGGAGGAGGTAGACTCCTGCCCCCACCACACTGCTATGTCTGAGGGGCAGGGAGGAAGAAAGTTTTGATTTACAGTGGATTGAATGTTTTAGCCCACGACAAACAGGTTGTTTTATTAGCTGAAAGTGACCAGAAAGCTGAAATCGCATCAAGGTGTGGAGAAGGCAGACTTAACAGTGCACATTTGAAAGTACATGCAGGAGAAGAAACCACGCTGTTTTCTGACCGCTCCCTGCTCTGCCAGCCTACTCCAGGCATCCGCGGCACACGGAATCCCCTCTCACAGCCTCCCTGGGTTAGCAGAGCACGTGTGCTGGCCTCGCTTTACAGGTGAGGAAAGCGAGGCTCAGGGAAGCTCAGCAATGTGTGCAGAGGGTTGTGGATTCAGACCAGGGGCATCTGACCCCAGACCCTGTGACATCTCCACTACATTGTGATGCCTTTGTAGGTGACAGCTCACGTGCCCAAAGGCCTGGCCACTGCACACCGAAGGTCATGGGGGCTGAGGTTCATCTACCTTGCCACCTCTGATTCAAAGGAGCTATTCCATAGCTAACAGTTAGGCCTCCCTTGCCCCTCGCTTTCCCCGTGCTGATGGCAGCAGCATTGCATTTATCTGCATGACACCATGCTACTAAGGACTGTATGCACTGCCCACGCCTCCACTGAGTGTTGGCCTTCCTTTGATAATGGACTTATGCAGTGTCCTGTCATCACCGAAGCTTCAGGAGCTGCCCCCAAAGGCTCCTCTGCCTCTGCAGAAAAGGAACAAGCACATTCATAGTTTCGGTTTTTATGCCGTTAGCTGAAAATAGGGAAGACTTGCACTTTTTTCTGAGTACACAGAAAGGAGTGATTGCACCAGAAGAAACAAAAAGAAAGAGCAAACCCAGCTTTGCTGTCAAAGCAGGCCCCTACCTCAGCATGGCACCAAATCCCTTCTTCTTCATTTTCCTTTCTGGGTCTTCGTTCTCCTCCTTGCGCTTTTTCTCCTTGACTTTCAACTTGCCCTTCTCCTTTTTCTTCTCCTTCTCTTTCGTTTTTTTGACTTTCCTGGCTTTATTTTCCATGTCCTGTAGCTCAGAGTTCCCCTGAGGGGCAGATTCACAATTCAGAGCTCCATGGCCAGAATGAGAGCTCTTATCAGACAACCCGTCTGCACAGAGAAAAAAATAATCAATACGCATGGTTGAGGCGCTTGCGGTTAATATATAAAGGAAAGCTAAAAATGCAAAATACAGAAGAATGAATAAAAGCACTCCCGAGTTCTATACTTCTATGTAGGTACTTGCACCCTTTGAAGACAGGACTGCCTAAATCTGGTTACTTCAAGCAAGGTTGATGCTGGGAGGGGGACGCCTGGTTGGCTTGGTGGTGTGAAAGGCTTGCTATGTGCAGAAGCACTAATCTCTCTGAAAGCTGGCTTGTTAACCTTGATCAGCTCAGAAAGCCCACATGCTGGGAAACAAACAGAGCGAATTTATTTGGAGGAGAGGTTTTTGAGTACAAATATAACCCAACTGTTTCTACCCAATTAATGCAGTCAGAGTCCTGGATTGATGCTGCCTCTAATGACTCCAATGAGAATGTCAAGAAATGCACACTTAGTGCTCCTACCCTAAGGGTAAATGACAGTTGGTCCTTGTAGAAAAGTGAAGGAGAACATTTCTTTAGCATTGCACTGTAAAATAAATTGCATATTGCGTTCTCCAATTCCATGTTCATTAAGCCAAAGGGCAAAACATATCAGGAAATGAATTACTTTTAATATCAAAACTATAATTGTGATCCCTAAATCATTTTTTCTCTGTAGTTAAGCACACATTCTTGCTTATGATTTGCAGATAATAATGAGATGAAGAAATCATTTAAGGAAACATTATCGCCCTACCAGCTTCGAATTCTTCGGGTCCATCGTAAGATTTGTCTATGGCTGCTCTGAAGCTCTCGTTGCAGCCTCGGCCCCGAACCATGTGTGGTCGGGGCCTGTGGAAGGGAAGTTCGTTCTTCCTGACCTCGGCCACGGCGGTCTGCAGACTCTCCAAGGAACTGGACTTTTTCAAACCCAGAGTTGGACCAAAATCTTTGCTTGGAGATTCTGGAAAAGAAAGGGTAAAAGGTCACTTTTCTCCTAAAGAGGCCGTGTAACATAATGAAAATGCTTGTTGTTGTAAGAATATTTCTGTTTGGGCATCTTACAAAAGGGGTGTTACGTGGGTGGGAGTTGGAGTTAAACTCAGGTTTGCTACCTTTTGTAAATCTCAAGCAAGTGGCTTGACTTCTCTGAGCCTCAGTTTCCTTTTCTAAAGTTGTGGTAAGATTTAAAATGACAACCTATATTACATAGAGAGATTTATATGTACATATGTCTATATGCACATTCATGCATCTGAAAGGATGTAGCCACCTATAGAGGGTATATGTGTGTGAATGAGTGATTATGTACGAGAGTATATGTACACACACGTACACGCATATACACACACAGCACCTAACATAATGAGTTATGTTATGAGTTACTCTTTTCGTACCCATCCTAGGCACTCCCACACATTATGCCTTTTATTATTTCCACGGTTGTTTATACAATTATTAAGGAACATACTGTGCATAGAAATCAAAGTACATTGAAGTGATTGTGATTTTGTGATTAAACACTTTATCTTACCCTAGTGGCTATTAACGTGTGGTAAATGCAATTTATTTAATCAATCAATAAATAAAGTGAAGCAAGAAAGAGAACAACTTTTCTGTGTCAATGCTATTGTTCTGAATGCATTCCTATTTGGGTATTTAGAAAAAGGGCAACCTTATTATATGACAAAATTACAAAACAGAAAAAACAACCCATACATGAATTTTCACATAATCTCCTTTCTGATATGCAATGTCTTTCATTTGTACTGTTTGTCTAGCCCTGTGCCTGCCCCCTCCCACTCTATTCCTTGACCCCCTTTCCCACCCCCAGCCAGTCTCCCAATTACCAATAACAGGATTAGGCTGTATAAATATTAGCAGCACAAGGATTATTTTTAAAGATGGAAGAAATTCCATCATGGCTCTTATGTCCACATTCAAAGCTTCTCCACCAGGGCCAAGGCTCATGGCCCTCTGCAGTTATGAAGGAGATTATTGTCCTGAAGGAACTATACTGACGTTTCTGGAAATAAACTACTGCACAGTTTTTCAATAGATAGAGACTGAATACAAATTAAGGATTATGTACATAAAGTACCTACTTCCATGCCTAGCACATAGTAAGGCTCAATAAATGGCACTACCTTTTGTTACCATCACTACTTTTCCTTCTACTACTACCACTGCTATGAACACTACTACTCATTGCTTAACACAGTATTAGGTAATACCAGGAATATAAAAGAAATACAACAAAGGCCTAATATATATACACCCACATAAAGTTAAATAGCAATACACACCCTTCCAAATGTCCTGAACATGTTAAAAATAGTCAAAATAATGGCAATAACGCTAACAGCTAACAATGCATGGAGTCTGTGTTAAGCACTATTCTAAGTGCTTCACCTATATGAACTTACTACCTATATGACCTTACTATAATCCTTGCAGTTGTCCTACTGGCACAACTACCGTTAGCGTCCTTTAACAGATGAAGAAATTCAGGTATAGAGCAGCGAAATAACTTGTCTAATATTAGACAATAGGCGCCCAAACTGGAAACTGACCTGAGAGAGACTGACTACAGCATTTTAGCTCTATACTATATACTTTACTGCCTGAGGATGTATTTGGTCTCCACCTTCTACTTAATTATGGTCAAGCTACTTAAACTGGCCTACATATCCCTCATCTCTAAAATAAGAAAATCTGTCTAGATTAGCACAGGAGCTGAGTCAAGAAGGCAAACTACAAAAATTAGATATTGCTTTTGAGTTTCATCATTAACATTACAGGAGGTAATTTTGCACTTTGAACAATATACCTGATGACGATAAACACTGCTTTTTATAGGTGACAGTGCATATTCAGTAAATGCAACAGAGATAAGACTAAGCCAAAAAATTATAAGAAATTTTGGGGACAAATTTCAGGTGTTACTTGCAAGTCATAAATACTGAGGATATGTACGTTACTATTAAATCCAGAAAGAGGCATATTTCTTATATTCCCAGGAAGGAAGGTATTTGAAGAAACAGAAATTGAATAAGATCATTTCTGACAAGAAAACAAAAGGCAACACAGAGGTTTAGGAGTATTGAAGCAACAGTAAAAGCTTTGAAGTTTACAGAAAATATTTTACACCATCAACCCCTAGGGATGTCTGACATGAAGTTTGGGGGAAACATGAAGATGAAAACTATCTGAGAAAGACTAGATCCTCTGTCAACAACAGTATCCATCTTTTATTTATTAATTGCCATCCAGGAGATTATATTAGAGCCCAAACTGTAAGCATTCATGTCAACCTTTAGCAGTAAATTCCAAGGAACATGAAAGTGAATAAATCGTCCAAGATATAAAGCATACTATCTAAAAGGAGCTCATCTAAAGCTCAGCAAGAAGTCATATCTGAGAAGGAACAAATACATTGTTATTCATTCTAAGCAAACTGAATATTAAGGATTCATGGATTTTGCAGGATTAATAGAGCTGGCAATTCATTCACTTTTTTATAAATAGAAGGCACAAATCAGAAGTACCAAATGACGTTGGGCAGCATTACAGCCTAGCTCTATTAAATGTAATACATTGTAAAATTAAACGCAAAAAGGGCGGATGAGTTCTAGGTTGCTAAATGTGGACCCAGAGGTTTTGAGGCTTGGAACAAAAGTTTCTATTTATTCCTGGGGAATAAACAGGATGCAGCAATAGATGAGAGACTGGTGTTGGAGAGGAGAACCCCAAATCCGGAAAGTCCTTACAAGGACTTACAAGTACAGTGAACTGACTGATCTGGGGGCTCTGCCTGATCAGGGCTCCACATGTTCTCGCTTCTGACAGAAGATCCAGGTACCATCTGGGGAAGGGATTTTTATGTCAATTGATGGGCATCAGTGTTAAATTCCAATAGAATATTCGGAATAAAGTACTTTCTCATGTAAAGATTGCGGGGAGTACAATAAATTGTCACGTTCAATCCCTCTTCCCTACTCCTACTCTCACCAATTTCAGTGTAGGTTGACACTGTATAGAAAATTTTACAGCTTTTAGAATGTGAAGATTCACTGTCAGTTTCTAGCTTCACCATTTACACAATTCATATGTTTTTCTAGGCTTCCACCAAAAGTAGAGGTCTCTTTGAAGCGAGTAATTTATCAAAATCAAAACCTCAGTCACTCAATCCCATTGAGGTCATCCCAAAATATGATAACTGTTCACATTTTCATGTGTAGCTGATGTGGCATTGGCTCTGGCTGATTTTAAACAATTGTCTCAGAGACTGATCTATGAATACCACGTGTTATCAGTCATGGGATGGACCCTGTCCAAATTTGAGCATTTACTTGTCCCATTTTGAGCATCTACAGAAATAATCTGAATATGACTGTTCAATGATTTCCAGGCCAGCTTTAGTTGCAAATGCCAAGGAATAAATCTTTCTCCAAACTCTAGTCGCCAGGCTTTATTTTTTAACCTATGACTTCATATCCAGTGACCATGTTCTCTAAGATCTACTTGAACTTACCTTTCCCTCACAGACATGAACTTGACATATACTAACTTCATGAAACAAATAATAATTATCAAGGGTGCTAAAAGAAGGATCTTGTATGATTTTGACAAAAATTATTTTCAAGGTGGTCTAATAAAAATATTCTTAATATCATGTGCCAAATTTTCTCTTAAATTGAAAGGCCCATAAAGAAATACCACCGAAATAATTTTTTTAAAAATAGATGTTATAGCACTTTTGAAGAGTTTCTGTTCCCAAATGAAGGATTGGCTTGACGTGGTCCAGGAAGGCTTCCCCATACAGAGCAGAGGGAAATTCAAGGTCATGTCTTCTGGACACACCAATCCTCAGATACCTTCACTATTCCCTTTCATCCAGAAAAACAGCGTTATGAACAGAATGGATGCACACACGCTCCCCAAGACTAAAGATTTAAAAGAGTTGTGCCAGGAGAAATGCCCACCATTTCTCCATTGGGCATGATAAAGGTGGCAAGAGCCCCCATAGAGCACTACCATCTAGGTGGAGAGGTGCTCCTTGGAAACAGATTCTGAAAATACTTAGAAACTGCTGCCCCAGCTTTCTAGGTAGAAAGCCCCATTTCAACATACCATGGAATAGAACATCCTTCCTAAAGGGAGGATTGTTTGGATGTGGACCTCAGTTTCTCTGACTCAGTCCTGGACTCCTGCCCCTCACCTACAGGTGAGGACTGCTATTGGTTCTCTACAGGCAACTGATTAGAATAATAGAGAATAAAGCTTTCTGGAGGGTAGTGGTTAACAGTGAACCACTAAAAGGAGGCTGTGTATATTCAAACTCTCCCCACTCTGCCGATTACTTTTTGAGTTATTAAACTCTGTGCCTTGGTTTCCTTATCTGTAAAGTGATGCTAAAACAAGCATAAAAGAGTACCTGGCACAGAGTGCATGCTCATAAAGCATTGGTGATAATTATAGTCACTGTCACTTCTGTGCCACCTCTAAACATCTGACTGAGTGAAATCCTAAAGCAATTGATTTGGTTCAATCCATCATTGCATTCTTAAACATGACAATGTCTTCCACAAAAAGCTAAAAAGGACTTCATAAAGATATACTATCCTTTTTATTTAAAAATTACACTGGTTTTATTTCAAACAATTCCTTACATTCCTTCTTTTGAAATAAGGTATATATATTCATCTGTTCATCACATATAGGGAGGCTATTCTTGGGAAGATTAATAGTAGAGTCTCGGTTGCCCTTCCCCTTAGGCTATAATCACTTAATTAGTCTGAGATTTAATTGGCAATGTTTGAACTTCCCACTCTAGCATTAAAATCTCACAATAAAAGAATGCCTTAATCCAGAAGACCAGTAATTGGATCTTCCATTATTGATGAAATTGTTTCCAATACATTCTGTATTAAAAAATAAGGAATTATTTTGGGGAAGGTGTTG